TAGTATCCTTTGGTCATCTTTCCACATTATTTGCGAGTCTTTTACTTGTTGGGTTGCCTCTGTCTGTATCATCGCACTGGAGGTTTTCGGATAAATGCTAACTTGCATCTTCTTTCCTATCCCTTCAACTCTGAGCAAATCTTTTTGGCAACATGCGTCGATATGATCGTGTTGCTCTGTCTGGCAAGCGGTCTGCCTGACTTCTACTATCGGGACCTCCTGCACGACCTCTTTACTTAATTTTTCAATTGGCTCCTCTTCTTTTGAAGACCAGCTTGATGCATCCACAGTTCCTGTCTGTGCCTTTTTAGTGGCAACTTCTTTTTCCAAATATGTACTGGTTTGGACTGCTACATTTCTACTCACAATTCCGTTTTGAGTCGAAGTTTCTGTTGCAATGGGCCTTATGTCAATTTGAACCTTTCTACTGATCATGGCTTCTTTGATCTGGGAAGGCACAATGACACTTTGTATGGACACACTCTGTTGAATCAGACCCATCTGGGTCTGTGCGTCCGAGTTTGCTGGAATTATGTCAGCCTGCATTTTTTTGCCCACCATTTTGATGTTTGGTGCTGCCGTGGATAACAGTGGGGTATGAACTTGTTGCTCTAGCTCGACTTGCGTCATTACACTCGAAGAGTCTGGCAACAGATAAACTTGCAACGCCTTTCCAACCCTCTCTACACCGGGTTTGTTTGAATCTTTTTGACAGTATGCCTCGAAGTATTCTCCTTGCTCGGTCTGGCAGGCCAGGGCCGATGTTTCCACTGGAATGGCTGAAAGTTGCACTACTTTCATCTTAACGTCCACAACTTGTAAGTCTTCTTCAACCTGACTACAGGCTGAGTCAACCTGTGGAGTCCTTATGGCCACTTGCGTAGCGCTATTTTTCTTCACATCTCTACTTTCTGTCTGTAGTTGCGTCTGAATCTCACTATCGACTACAGCAGAACGAATTTCTACCTGCAACACCTTATTTGCCAAGACCGCTTTTGCAGACTCGGCGTGAATCCCAATGTTTCTAAGAAGCAGGCCCGTTTGAGTCTGTGCCTCTAGGCTTGACATATTAATGTTAGTCTGTATCTTTTTCCCCAGCCTAGCAATCTTCGGTGGCTCCACATAACTCAGCACCGTTTCATCCATCTTACAAGGTAATGTTTGCGTGAGTGCACTTATGCTTTCGTACGAAGCGTGAAAATGCTCTACCGTGTCAACAAGTTTGGACACTACTGTCTGGGTGGCGATCGCTGAGACCATCGCCTGAGGCAACGAGTGACAACATGAAGTTTCCACGTATGCAGGTCGAACTGTCTGACATGACGTGCTGGACATTTCGGCCAGAGACGGTGCCTTCTGTTGTACTTCATGCTGGAGGGTGATGATCTGCTCTGTCTCCAATAAGTAGCTATAGGCGGCGTCCCGCTGAGGTGAGACAGGATCCGCTTGAGAGCCTGTGTCCTTGTGTACAATTACCTGTTGGACTTGCGCATCAAAGCATTTCGGTTTTGTGTCCGTTTGCAGTTTCTCGATGTCTGTTTGTATAAGTTTACAACTTTGGGTGACACCAGACTGTGTCTGCACTTCAGAACTGTTTGGCAGGATGTTAACTTGCAGCTTCTTGTTGACATTTGACATTAGGGTAGTTTGAACAGCCCCAACATTTGTGGCCACATTTGGCGCTATTTCCACCTGGACTTTCTTTTCAACCAAGTCCCTTTTCATTGACTGAACTTCTGCATCGACTGTCCTAAGCCCCAACAAGTCTTTTTGGGAATAAGCTTGTACATAAGTTTTTTCTGCCGTCTGACTCATGGCTTCTGAGCTCTGGGCTACAACCGCCTTACTCACTTTCTCCTGCTTCCTTTCCATCAAAAAGGCTTCGTCGGGTCTGGCAAAGTCGCATGAAGCGTCAACTTCTCTTGAAGCCGGAGTAGATTGAGTGCGTCTGTCTATCTGGACAACTCCATGCTGTGTCTGCGAATCTACGAGAGAAGTTCGAATACCCACCTGAACCTTTTTGTGAAGAGTAGGTTCAACCTTCGAGGCTGGCTCCATTTCAGCTTGAATGCTAATGCTCTCCTGAATCACACCAGTCTGCGTCTCGACAACAGCACGCAGAGGCATAATACTAACTTGCATCTTCTTACCAACTTTTTCAACTTTTTTGACAGGTGCCTGCGTTTCGACTTGAACAAAAACGTCACAATAAACTGATTCAGGCGTTTGGCATTGCTGGTCTGCTCCGCTTGATACTGACGCCAGCTGCGGCTTTTTCTTTACTAACATCAAAGCTCCCTCTTCAGAAAGACCGAAGTTGTAAGAGGAGTCCACAACCTTTGTGACAGGCCTTGTACGAATAATTTGGCTGTCTGATTCAAGAGCCATTTTTACCTGAGTCCCAGTGTTCGTACTCACCACACCTAGTTGTGTCTGAGACTCTGTCGAATCAGGTCTTATGTCCACCTGAGTGCGCCGGTTTAAAAGTTCTAAATGGTGCGTCATTGGCTCTGACTGGTATTGGACCCCAATACTCTTCTGTGTAACTCCAATTTTCGTCTGGACTTCCATTGATGATGTGCCTACTTTGGCCTCCACTTTCTTGTTAGCAGTGTCCACTGGGCTGGTCTGAAAAGTGGAAGACTCTAGTGGACTCCTGAACTCAAATGAGGCGAAAGATTCCTGATTCGCTTTGATGACAGTCTGTGACTCCATTTCGTGTCTGTTTGCTTGTCGGCTATCGACGGGAAGGACTTCAACGACATCCACCTCGCACTGAACTGCAACGGCCCAGCCAGATTTTCCTGTTTTCTGAACATAGCCAATGTGAGAGTCAATCACTTGACTAGGAAACGCTTCCATATATTGACAAGCCTGGCTGACCATCTGGAACTTAGCTGTTTGCGATGACATTGCTGTTGTCACGATTGCAGTTTGCGTATGCGCTGATACACACGAGGTTGATGTTGTAAAATCTACCACATCTTGAGCACTGGAGTCGATCATCGGCAGCTCTAAGTGTGCTTGTAACTTCTTGCTTGTCATCTCAGGAGTCGTAACCATCGTTTGTGTCGCTTCGTTAGAGAGCACTGGTGCGGTTGGCTTGCTAATATTCCAGGCATCTGCGATCTCCCGTTCGGGAGTCTGAGAGGACATTGCGAACTGCTTGGGTGGGGTTGATGCCAACACCTGTTTGATTTTAGTTTTTTGCATTACCAATTCTGTTTGAGCTAGCTCAGTCTGCAAGGCCTGATCTCGCTGGAGAATATCGCACTGTGTTTGCGCTTCGAGGCCATATGGGCTCATCTGAGGAAGCGTCTGGACGTCCACATTTCGGCTGATTATGCCAGCTTGGGTCTGTACCTCGCCAGAGGCAGGTCTGATATCAACTTCAATCCGTTTTGACATGCGTGAAGGCGCCATTGTCTGCGTGAAATCACTGGCTTTATCAGAAGGCCGACTTATGTCCCTGGTCTGCGTGGTCTGGCTGGTTACCAACATTTTAGATGGTGTCTTTGGTTGTATGTAAGCCAAGTTATCATCCTTCACCTCAATCAGAATTTTCTGAGCTTTCTGAACTTGCCCCGCATTTACAGTGAGCACGGGCTCTTCAGGAAGCTGGTCACATTGCACAAAGACCTGGTTGACTTCGGGACGAAAGTCGGCCTGTGTGCTGCGTGCGAACTTGTGCACATCTGGCACCAGATGCCAAGCGGATGCTTGAGCCGTCAAACTAACCTCTGTCTGGCTCGCCCAGGTGATCTGAGCAGGTCGAGTCACCGTGTCAGTTTGTATAGTTGCTAGGGCAAGGTTGGTCACCTGCTGGCAGCACGACTCCTCTGT